TCATGCAAGTTTTATGAGCTTTTTTTATTGCCTGATTTTGTTATTTTTATGATACTTACATAAATTATTGTCATTTTTGTCCTTAAAATACCAAAATTTCCTCTTTTTTTGTTTTGGTCTGTCTGATTCTGTAATTTTTAAGCAATTTCTTAGAAGGACACTTTCTACTCTTATTTGAGTAAAGTACTCTGCTCTTTCTATTCAAGAATATTTCTGTAATTTTGTCGTAAAAACTATTATTTTTGTTATATATGAAAACTTTGAGCTTTGATAGAGATGATAGTCAAGAACAGGATTTAACGTTTTTATTCTGACTGTATTTTTCTGATTGTTTTCAAGAGTTTTTGAGGAAGAAAAAAGTCTTCAATTTTTAACTTTTCGAAATTTTCTGATTTTGTAAAGCCAGCAATTTTTGACTTTTTGAACTCAGAAAATTCCGATTTTGTTTTTTTTCTTGAAAATTTCCAAGAATAATCTAAAATTTTCAGGAAAAAATTAGACTTTTCAAATTTAGAAATCTACTTGTTTTTTTTTTCTGTAAAATTTCTTAGATTTACCTAAGAGATTTTTTTGGCAATTTTTTTCAGCTTTTAAAATTGAGATATTTCCTTTTTCTTTCCTATAAAAAAAATTCTGACAATCTAAAATGTTGAGATTTTTTGCCACACTTTTAACTTTCCAAACTCTTTTGTAAAAAAACAAAAGCAAGAAAATTGAGGAGATTCATCAAAATGTTTTGGCTTTTTTTTGGCAAATTTTTAGCTTTTCAAACTCATAAATTTCCTTGTTTTTTTGTCAGAGATTTCTGATATCAATCTAATTTCGTCTGAGTGTTTTAACATTTTCTGAGTTTTCGAACTCAAATATTTCTGCAGTTTTCTGGAAAATTTCTGGGATTCATCTCAAAACCTTTGATATTTTCTGCCAAATGTTTGACTTTTCAAACTCAGGCATTTTCTTGATTTTTTTGTCAGAAATTGACTCTTTTTTCCATGTTCTATTTAAAGTGATTTTTAGCTGCTCTCGTGTTTCCCACTAAAATAGTTTTTTCTCTCCATGAGAAGTAGAGCTAGAAACTCAGCAACATCCACATAGAAATATATTGTTTAGAGCAGACAGCCATGCCAGCAGCTGATTAAAGACCAGCATGTCCCGTCAGGTGCAGCCGCTCAGAGTTTGACATGCATGGCTTCACTTCCTGTTCTCTCGTCCCCAAGTCGCCGAACCCTGATACCAACTTATGAAACCTGGGGAAAATATGAGAATGAGGCATTTCCAAAGCAGAATCATATCATAACCACGAAGGAGTAAAGAAGGTTCACTTTACAAAGATAAAATAAGTGATCATTTTTCTTTAAACTTGTTTAAAACAAACAAACAAAAAACAATAATAAACCACTAAAATGGCATAAAAACAGCAGCTATTCTCAATTTCTGTTTCAGGCGTAACAAAATGCCATTAATAGAGGTTATAATTATTCACAAAGTCAGACTAGTATATTTAGCTAAAACATGATAAACAGTGTAATATTTAGACCAGTGAACACAATAGATGCTGACAAAGTCATACTACTTTGATAAACTATTGCAGCATAGAAAATATTCTCAATAAGCAGTTTTATACAAAATAATTTGTGTGGGAAAATGAAGCAAACTGTCAGTGAAAACATTGATGAAAGATGGTTTTATACCTCCCAATGTTTTCATATTAATGTTGAAAATGTACCGCGTTTAAAAGAAAGTACGTGAATTACATTCAGAACCAGATAAAGACGGATTTACATTTGAAATATGACAAAATGTTTATTTCCTTTCTGCTAACTGATTGCATCTATGAAGCTTAAAGTGGACCTACTATGCAAAACTGATATTTTGCATGGTTTTTGTTCCTCCAATAGGTCTCAACTGCTCCTCTGCAGGCGCTGTACAATGGCTGCTGGAAAAGACTGTTTTGTTGCTGACTTACCATCCAGAAACCACTTTCTGCATTCATGTTACTTGTGCAGGAGGCTCTACTTCTGCTTTTCAAAGATGTATGTTATATAATTGCATATCTGTGGAGTGAGGGGGGCGTGGCCAGCGGCAGCTGATTTGGATTTAAAGTGACAGGACACCCTAAAACAGCTTAACATAGGCAGAACTGAGCATAATCTAAGAATGATTTTGTTTTGTATGACCCGTTGAGTTCTCCTCATGTGTTCAAGGAAACATAACAGGTCACCTGTACACATTTAATCGGGCTTACTTTCTAAAGAAGTCCTACATTTTTTGAGTGTCTATATTCTACATGAATTCTACAAAAAAACAATCAAAAAGTTTTATAAACTTCACATTATTTTTACACTGAATAGATTTAAAATTTCAGTTATGATGGTTCTGATGTTGAACTGGAGAGCTGCTTTTGCCACACATGGCTGCATCCTGGGTGCACAAATGAGCGTCATCACAGATCTTTCCTCCATAATTTCATTATTCTGAATTTTGCCACTTTTGTACAATAAAGCGCATTTATATTCTACTCATAGCTGTGAAAACAACGACATATTTTTCTCTCTATTTATAAATATCTACTTGTTTTATGGTGAACGTGTTTTAGGAAGATTACAGACAAATGTGTGACCAAAAGAAAACCGGGGTGATGAATAACTTGAAGTGAAAGTCGGCTTCAGTGGCACCGAGCAGATCACAGGAAGGCTCTCCACATAAGTGATCAAAGTCAGACTGAATGTTTTGAGATCTCAAGTATTTGAACTTATTTTATCTACACTCAAAAGCATGCAAACAGCTTCGAAGCATCTTTAAATGTAGAGTTTCTCAACAAGAGAAACTCTGGTAGCCTCTATGCATTGCCAAGGTGAGAAATTCTCAGTGGGGGAAACTTTTTCAGAAGAATTTAATTCGTTTGTGGTGTTTAGGGAAATCACTGTCTGGTTTTGAAACGCCAAATTTTTGCAAATGATGTGATTCTGTTCACACCTTCAACCCATGACCTTTACGGTTCGCTGTAGCGGCTTGCAGATGTGTGATGCCAGCCAATGCAAAGCTTTGCAAAAAATAATCGTGCTTTCAGAGCAGGTGCCAGCCTGCCGCCTCCAAACATCATTTTCAGCACTTTTATGCACACTTCAGTGCATCTCATTAAGTTTCTGACTGAGAGAGAGAAACTAGATGGTGACTAATTGTGAAATCCAAATTACAGTTCTTGTTTCTCAAAGATTAAAAAATAAAATAAAAGGAACTCGCATTCACCCCCATTTGTTTTACTTAAACCTCAAACATGCAAACAACGCGTTTCTTCCTCTAAGTCGTTTCCAAAACACCAAACTTTGTGTTGACTCTAAAATCCCTGAAACAAAGTGAGTGACCTAATATTTAAACAGTGAAGGTCAGAAATCAAACAAAACTCTGAATATTGCCATAGAAAGTACCACAGTAAAAAACAAAAACACTGGCATTCTTCCCAAAAGAAGCAAAGTCTTCTTCGTAGATTTCATTTTAAATACTGAATTGTTTTATTTAGTTTTATTTTACTGTACAAGTCCTGTCTGGCATTCAAATCTGTTATTTGAGTAATCAAGATCAAACAGTTTTACTTTCACAAGTGGAGCGTTGCTGCTTTCGCCGTCATGCTCCACTGGATGCAAGAAACTTTATCAGATATTTCTTTGGTTTATTTTAAATCTAACAACAACAGAGACAAAAAGTAAAAAGAAAAGAAACTGGGAAAATCACAGGTCAAAACAAAACAACCTAAAGTCAAGCAAATAAAGTAGCCTGGTATTTATTGTATGACTTTAAAACGAATTTTATCAGGGCCGTCATAGATAGAAAAAATTTTCGCCAAAACGCTCACTATATTTAGCCAATTTTTCAGAAACAATAAAAGCTGATTTGGCTTTTCAGTAAAAATCAAGTTTTACTTTTTGTTAAGACTCGGTTATAAAAACACAAATACATTCCGTTGTACTTTACATTTTTCTGTGTAGAAAATCATTTCAAGAATTTTTACCCCGATTACAGATCAAAATTTTTTATCTGCATCTATGGATCATATTGAATTGCAGTCAGGGGTCGCACAAAACCAGTGGAAGGGCCACAAGTGGCCCCAGGGCCGCACTTTGGACACCCGTGATCTAAAGGAAAGGAATGCCGACACTCCTGAAGACTGAAAGAGAAAAAACAAACTGAGAAACCACAACAACCACCAAAGCTCATTTTCTAGTTTGTCAGTAAATAGAGGTGGAGAGAAATCTCAAAAAATATAAGTACTTACTCTGAGTTAGGTAGGAACGAGTCGAGAGGTGGTTCTAAGGAGAGGTGGTTCTAAGCTTGTTATCATAGCTACTCCATAGCACCTGCCTACCAAGATGGCCGCCGGTTACATGAGCGACGTCTCATGGGAAAACTGAGCCGCAGGAGCCACTGTTGGCCTGAAGAGGGCGTCACTGGGACAGTTTTAGGCCAAATGTTGCAGAATTAAACGAATTTACAGGAAAACAAGTTGAGCAGAAACATAAAGACGCATGAGAAAAGCCTGAAAACTTAAACAAGCCCGTTTTACAGCTATGAGGTTTCCTGTAACATCAGGTTGGAATTTCAAATGTCAAAAAAAAAAAAAAAATGAAAATTATAATTTTTTAAAGAAAATTTTCAAGTTTTCTGGAAAATTTCTGAGATTAAGTGCTAAATTTCAGAGTTTTTCATAAAAATTTACTCCTTTTTTCTATCTACAACGGCCCTAAAATACAATGATAAAAATCCCTCTAGAGTTTTGCATCTACCATAAATATCAGGCAATTTTATTTGCTTAACTTTAGGTTGTTTTTTTTGGCACAAGTTTACTTTCCAGTCTACGGCGTTTAATTTGTCGCTGTGGCTGCGCATCGCTGCTCGTGTATCCGTTCCAGAAATCTTTTCTCAGCAGCTAATTCTCTTCTCTGTGTCTCCACCCAACAGAAAGCTTTAGAAGGCAAATTTAAAAAGAAAGCATGAGAGGAAGTGTGTGCGCTTTGTCGCTGCAGAAGTGTGAAACGATCATCTCCACGCGCCGTCATGGCTTTCACAAAGACCTACACTGGAGACATGGTGAGACTTTAACCCACTTTTAATTCATTCATCTTTTAAGTGTAAATCTATTTTTAACTCCAAATAGTGGATTCAGACTATAATTTAAGTCTATTTACCTAATTTTGCATATTTTTATATTTTAATGTAAAAACCGATATAGATTTTTAAAATGGAAACCTAATATTGTATTTGTTTTTTCTTTATTTTGCAACTGCAATGGAATATTTCTTGCATGTTTGTTATTTTATCATTTAAATTACCCTATTGCTTAAATGTGTTAAATAAACCTAGACAGGATAGATGTATGCAACATATGGAATTTATTCAAATTAGGTGTGCCCTGCTTGTTTCCTGTTATTTAACCAAGCAACCAGAAAAAAGAAGTTGCCCAAAGCATGTTGAATATTTACAAAAATGTGCTGAGGGGGTTCAGAAAAAGAGGAAATAATGCACATGATCAGATTTATTTATATGCTTTTAGAATAGAATAGAATAGAATAGCATTTATTGTCATTGAACAGGATTCAACAAAATTTCTATTGCAACTCCCGTGCAAAGAGTCAAATATATACAATATTAAATAAACAAACACACAATAATAATATATACAACTAAAATTAACTAAAGGCACTCAACCACACCAAGAAGAAGCAGCAGGTCCAATTATGGTAAAGTGCAGATGATGTGACAGTGCAAGTGCAGAACAATATGGCTGTGTGGGGGAGGGGGGGGTATGTGAGGTTATGATATTTGTGGGAGGGGGCGGCAGGGAGTAATGGCTCTGACGGCTGTGGGGAAGAAACTGTTTCTCAGTCTGTTTGTTGTAGTCCGTATATTCCTGAACCGCTTGCCTGATGGCAGCGGCACAAACAGACTGTGGCCCGGGTGGCTGGAATCCATGGCTATGGATCCAGCTCTCTTCTTGACCCGGCCTATGGTCCAGGTCCGGGAGGGGGCATCCCACAATGCCTTGTGCTGTTCTCACCACCCGTGTCAGTTGTTTCCTCTCCAGTGCTGTGCAGCCACCATACCACACAGTCACGTTGAGGCAGAGGACGCTCTCTATCGTCGCCCTGTAAAAGTTCACGAGCAGCCGTGAGGAAAGTTTTACACATTATTGCGTATAAAATGGATGCTGTTTGTTGTCATTTGCAGCCAAAATTGTAAAAATTAAGTTGTTTAGGATGAACTGATCAGATTGTATAAATTTTTTAGTCGACCAAACTTTCTTTTTATTAAATTAAAAATATTTCATGTTTAATAATGTGACTTTATCAGCAATTCTTCAGTTTATTTAAATAGCACCAATTTACAACAAACGTCATCTTAATAAAAACTCAACTTCCAAGTTGAGTAGAGAAGCACCGACACAGGAGTACTTTCTGTTAAGCAAAAAGTAATTCAAATTTGGAGAAAAACATAGCTAAATTAGAGTAACCATAGAGACGAGTATCCTTCTCAGTAATATTGTCCAAAAAGAGAGTAAAGGTAAAACATAATAATGATACAAATCTCAGATGTAGTATAATTTATATGGAGAGAAAAACCAGAGGTTAAAACTGGAGTTTATTTTTTTTAGGGTTAGGGTTAGGGATCGGGTTAGGTTAGGGTTAGGGATCAGGTTAGGGTTAGGGATTGGGTTTGTTCCTTTTTTCTACTAGCGTAGCACGTTTGTTATCGTTGTTTGTTATGGAGCAAAGAAGAATAGTTTCAAAATATTCTGCCTTTTGGATCAACAGTTGTCATGTAACTAAATTTTGTGGATTTCCCGACAGTAATAAATTATAATAGTTCAGACTTGATATTCATGGCAAAACCACAAAATCTTGCAAAGTAATTTTGGACTAGTTTCCAAAGAAAATTTCTCAGTGAAACATATATAAAATACAAAGCTAGTAGCTTTTCAGCGACTAAGAGCTTGTTTTAAGTCAATAATTTCTTTATTTTGATGAAAATGTTCTAGTTCCACTGACAGATTATTTCATTTATAATGAGACGTTTTTTTCATGTCGTAGTTGAAATAATCTGCCAATGAAACTAAGACTTTTCCATTAATAGTAAAGAATTATTGACTTAAAACAAGTTCCTATTTCTTGCTAAAAAGCTGCTTAAGTCAGTTTTGACTTATTTCAAGTGTATTAAGATAGTTGCACTAAAACAAAATAAAAAATTCTTGTTAATATTTTGTGTTTTTGCAGCAAAGTGAATCCATTACAGAAAGTAGTTCTCTTTAGATGCTATGGATGTTTTGGTACTCAAAATAGCTCAGATGTCTTTAAAGAGGAAGTGGAAACAATCTGGCACATTCAGAGCTTCCGGGAAACGATTTGACTGAGAACCCAGCAGGGTTCAAGTCTGTTCATCTGTTGCATAATGACTCTTATTCCACTGATGTGTCATCACAAAATTCTCTGTGTTCTTTATTTCATAGGACGAAGACTATGAAGCTTACAGCTATGACAATAACACATATATTGATGACACCTGCGATGGCGAAAACCTGATGTTCCTGAACTTTTACTCCGTGTTCAGCCCGGTGCTCAACAGCCTCATCTTCCTTCTGGGTTTGGCCGGAAATGGCCTGATGGTCGCCATCCTCCTGAGGCGTCACCGTCGGCTGCGCATCACTGAGATCTACCTGCTGCACCTCGCCCTGGCCGACCTCATGCTGATATTCACGCTGCCTTTCAACGTGGTGGAAAGCGTCGCCGGATGGATGTTCGGGGAGTTTTTCTGCATGCTCAATGGCGTGTTGAGGAACCTGAACCTCCTGTGTGGGAGTTTCCTCCTGGCTTGCATTGGATTCGATCGGTATCTGGCCATCGTCCAAGCAATCCCCAGCATGCAAAGTCGACGCCCGAAAAGAGTGCACCTCACCTGTGCTTCGCTTTGGCTCATCTGCTTTCTGTTGTCACTGCCCAACGCCGTCTTTCTCTCTGTCAAGCCAAACACAAACGACTCCTTGCCCGAGTGTGATTATTACCGTTACGAAATCAATTCGCAAAACTGGGTTGTGGCCAACAGGGTTTTGCATCATGTGAGCTTTTTCTTCTCGCTGGCCGTCATGTGTTACTGTTACTCTGCACTTGTCATCACTTTGTTCAAGAGTCAGAAAAGCCAAGCGAAGAAGGGAGCCGTCCGACTGGCGTTGCTCGTCACCATTGTGTTTTGTGTCTGCTGGCTACCCAACAACATCGCCTCACTGATGAGAACCCTCGTTGACCTGGAAGTCATGAGTGAAACCTGCTGGTCCAAGAAAGTCCTAGCTCAAGCTCTCGCTGTGACGGAGAGTCTGGGTGTCTCGCACTGCTGGCTCAACCCGTTTCTGTACGCGTTCGTCGGGGTGCACTTTCGTAATGAGCTTTTGCATCTGCTGTGTCGTCTGGGCTGCGGCCGCTCTTGCCTGCGGTTTACCAAAGGTCAAAATTACGGAAGACCGTCTGTTTCTGATGGAACGACATCGAACAGCCTGGTCATGTACTGACCAACGACTCAGATTTAGACGGCATCAAGCTGTACGCCAAGAGTGAGCGAGACATCGACTCACTGATCCACACCACCAGGATCTACAGCACTGACATCGGGATGTCATTCGGACTAGAGAAGTGTGGTCGGCTGATCACAAAGAAGGAGAAGGTCATCCACACAGAAGGAGTCTCACTCCCACAAGGAACAATAGCAGATATAGAGGACAGTTACAAGTACCTAGGTATACCACAAGCAAATGGCAACCTCGATGAGGCCACAAGGAAAGGAGCCACAGCTAAATACCTCCAACGAATGAGAAGCCCTGAGAATTCAGCTAAGAACAAAATCCGTGTGATAAACATCTATGCCTCAGTAATCAGATACTCTGCTGGAATATATATACTGTATATATTCAACATTTCCTCTTTCTGTATTCACAATCTTGTATTTACTGTGAGGATGAAAGATATCCTGCTGTAATGAACTGTATTATTTGCTTGTATTGTAGCTAAACAAGGTTTTTCTGTTATATATGTAAATATATGACAATAACTGTTGCCTAAAGAAATAAACACAATAACCAAATTAACTCCAGAGATTATTATTCTATTTGTAGACTTCTATTAAAACACAGACAGAACAACTTCAAACAATCACACATTGCATCTTATATACAGCAAGTATATATTATATATTTATTTTCACAAGTTGTTTTTTAATTGGAGAAAAAAATAAATCAATGATATTAAAACAAATAGAAATTTGAGGCACTCCTCTCTTGACTGTCACCAAGCAAATACACATATTTTGTTTGAAATTTACACAATTTACAGTATTTTTATTATTATTTAGAAAATGGCTTCAAATTTATTGAACAGTGTTACAGTGCTTTGAAATTTTTACATGTCTTAAAATCAGCTTCAACCCACAAAACCTGGAGATTATCACTCAGACATATATGGGATTAACACCCGAGTGAAGTTGGCCCCCCGACCTTCTTCATATGAAACCAGGTTGGCGTCAAAAGTCTGTGCAGCAAAATGAAAAACATATTAAATGTTTGTAGAGGTCACTGAAGATCAACGAGCACAAAAAAAACATATAGTCAACTGTGCTACAAATATTTTAGTTGCACAAGCATAGCGCAGCTAATTTGTATCAATTTCCTTTGATTTTGTAAATGTAGACTGGCTGGCTGACCTTTGATGACCTCTGGAAACATTTGTGAAAATCTTTGAAGTTTCAGAATGAGCCGTTTTTGGGCCTCCCTCACTTTAAATCCAAACAAGCTGCTGTGGTTTCTGAATGGCAAGTCGACGACACATTCGACTTTTCCAACGGCGCTGGAGCGCAGCGTGGGTTGTTAGGTTGATTTCTGACTTTATATGCTAGAGGTTTTGCAGATAAAAAAAAAAAAAACTTATTTCCATAAAGCAGCTGAATGTTTGTTTATTTTCTTAGTTTTTGGGCTGATTGTAGAAGCAGAACAAACCCAGAAAGAAGAATGAAAAAGTGCAAAATACGAATTTTACTTGCTATGTCTCCTTTAATATCTTTAAAAACAAAAAATGTTTGCTGCACAAACGTTTGACAGCAATTTTGTTTAATCTGAAGAAGATGTGGATGTAAACTTCACCCAGGTGTGATCAACAGTACACAGAAACCGGACGTGTTGGGAAGTTTGCGTGAGTACGAAGCCGGGTCAGAAAGGCATATTGGCCATGCCGCCGGAGCCGTAGCCGATCGGACTGTCCAGAGACATCCCCCGCTGCCTGAGCGGTTGCTGCTGCCCCATCATGGCCGCCTGGTGGTGGGGCGACCCCACCATGGGCCCCTGGTGTCCAAACGGCTCCCCTGGAATCGACATGCTCCTCTGTTTCGCCTGCATCATCATAATGTTCTGCTGCGTCATCAAGCTGTGCGGGTGCTGCTGCGGCGGCATCATGCCGGGGTACGGCCCCGACGGATGGTGGAGGAGATTGTTGGCCATCATGGCCGGCTGCTGCGGCGGCATCATTCCTGTCCTTCCCATCATGTGTCCCGGCGGACACATGGCGGCGCCGCCGGACATCACCGCCCTCGACCCTCCCATACCTTGTCGGATCCCTCCGTGCGAAGGGTGGGGAGGCAGCTGCTGCTCCGCCATGCTCTGCAGGCTGGCTAGATGTGGGTTGCACGACGCACCGCCGCCAGCGCCTCCGCCATGTTGGGAAAGCTGCTTGAGCAGCTGCTGTGGAGTATGCTGCTGGTTCTGATGAGGCTCGTTTTTGGGGAAGTACTGCAGCGTGCTGCTGGGCTTGTCGGACGGAATGATGCGAGACAGATCAAACTCCGGGATCCCCGTCTGCGTCGGCCGAATCACCTCGCTCAGATCCGGGCCGTCGCCCAGAGGCAGCGGCGGGAAGGAGTCGGGCGGATGCGGCGCGCGCTGGTGATGGTGGCCTTTGCTGAGCATCTGAAGCTGCTGATGCGGCAGGATGTCGTCGCCGGGCTGGGGGAAGTTCGGCGGCATTCCTCCGATCGGAGAGTGCATGGGCGGCTGCATGCGAGGGAAACTTGCCGACGGCGGCGCCGCGCCGCTGGGGCCCATCCCGTCAGTTGCGCCGCCTCCCATGATGACCGAACTCATGGCCGGCATGCCCAGTTCAGGCCCAGGGGCATCATGGGACAGATGCTGCTGGCCTTGGCTGACCAGACCCATCGGGCTCTGAGGCTCGTTCTGGGGTCCGATGGAGCCTTGACAGTTCAGCATCTGAGACATCTGGGCGTTCGCCATGTTTCCTGGAGAGGAAGAGGAGAAAACATGGAGGACCAAACAAAACAGTTTCCTTATTTCACTGTTCAAACAGTAAACGGAGTAAATTTTTTAAATCTAATACGCAAAATGTACGTAGTTTTGTACAGTTTTGGCTTAATTACTGATTTGAATATGTTTTTCAGGTAATGGCCTTTTTGAGTCTCCACTTCAATTAATGATTAATCGATTACTAAATTGGTTGACGATTATTGCAACAACTGATCAAATTAATCGGTTATTAATACAATAAATTATGATTAATTGGATTCAGCCTTAAATATTTCTCTGGACTAAATTAAAATGATTTTATTTAATCCAGTTAAAGACTGACCAAATACTAAGTTGGTTGATGATCATTGCAATAATCGATTAATCAGATTAATCCAATTGATCGTTTCAGCCCTAAATCTTTCTTTTTTTTAAATGGTTTAATTTAATCCTCATTTAATATTCTATTAATGAGAGGATATTGGGGTTTGTCACTCTGTGTAATGAATGCGTTTCACTTTTTAAATCGAAACGTCACACAAACGTTTTGTTTTGATTTTTCTTCAATGCTGATGTGTAAAATGTGCATTTCGTTTCTCTTTTGGTATCTTCGTACCTCCAATAGTGACACCGGACAGAAGAGGTCGATCTGGCAGCATCTCGTCGTCAGAAGTGGCGATTGTTTTGATTGCATCATGGTAGAGCGGGGTCGAACTGGGGACGGCGTACTTCGACATCTGAGACATGATGAGGGATAAAGGATTCTGGGATGGCGTCGCACCCGGGGAGGAAGTGAAGGCATTCATAGGAGCTGGTTGGCTGAGGGGCGTCGAGCTGGAACTTCTTGGAGGATGGGGCTGGCCTGCAAAATATACATAAAAAGGTTATTAGTAGCCTGAACTCGGGCCTGAACGTTCAGAGTCACATAAAGACAGTTACAAAGTCGGCCTTCTATCACTGAAAAACATTTCCAGGATTAAAGATTAAAATTTTCCAGCAGGATCTAGAGAAACTTTAGAAGCAGTAATTACTGCAACAGTGTCTTCATAAAAGTGAAGTGTCTGCCTAAACAAAGTTCACCTTATCCAGCACGGTGCTGCTTGTGCTCTCACTAAAACCAGGAAGATGGAGCACATCACACCAGTTCTAAAATCCATACACTGGCTCCCTGTAGCTCAGAGAACAGACTTTAAAGGGGGGCTTTTATCCAAAATTCACATTTTGCACATTTGGGTTCCTACTACTTCTAAAAACAGATCAAGTGCTTAAAAAAATCCACCCAGTATAACTGGGTGGATTTGACTGTATGATGTTTTTATGGTGTAAAGCATTTTGCCTTGTTGGTGGAATGTGTTCTGCAAATAAACTTGACTAAAGTGTACCTGCTTCAGTAGAGCCGTTGCCTCCATTGCCGAGGGGCTTTCCACCGGTCGGACCGCCCGGACTTGGAAGAGCAACCTTTGGCGACGTCCAGCCGGGAGAACCAACAGCCATAGCCGGAGACTTGAGCTGCCCTGGAGAAGCCGACGGAGAGTGCAAGCCGAGGTTTGAGGATGCCATTAACTGAGGAGACTTCAAGGAAGAGCAGGGAGTTCCTGCTCCGGACGCCGGGGGAAAACTGGGGTGGTGCCCAGCGTTAGACAGCGGCGACTTCAGCCCTGGAGCGGACGGAGAAGGCAAGAGAGGAGATGGCTCTTGATTGAGGGATGGCGACTTAAGTTGGTGAGGCGGAGGCACTGACGGAGAGGCGAGGGAGTTAACCCTCACCGACATTTCAGGGGCGTTCCTGGAAGCGAGATCAGCTCCTCTAAGACCTTCGGTTTGAGGCAAATGGCTGAGCCGAGACATAGTTCCGAGCTGATTGGGTCCAGGCTGGTCAGGGCCGAACAGCTCAGGGCCCGGTTGTTGGAGAAACGACCCGTCCACCTGTCCTTCAGGGAAGGGACCTTGACTGGGGAACTGGAAGGGTCCGTCGGGTCCAGGCAGCATCCCCTTATTCCCACATCTTCCGCTGATTTCTCCAGGTCCAAACATGTCCGGTAAAGGCCCCCCTCTGAGCCTCTGTGACATCATCAACTGCTGCTGCTGCTGAAGGTTCATCTGATGGTTCATTCCCATTGGAATATTGCTCCCTAAATGGGAATCCACCAAGTCTCTCATTGGATGACACGCTCCAGGTGACCCCATAATCTCCCTTGAACTGGGAAAATCCATTGGATCCACCCGACCAGACGGCGGGCCTCGCCCCATTACCAAGTTGGGGAAATCTGCGCCCCCGAACCCATCCATTATTCTTGACCCCATGTTCCCCTGCTGCTGCTGCTGTTTCGCCAATCGGTCCAGCTCAAACCTGGACACCTGCATCTGCCGTTTCTCCATGATCCGGAACATTTCCTCGCGCGCTAAAAACTCGGCATCATCTTGGAAGTGTTGTGAAGCTCCGCCGGGGTAACAGCCATGGAAGGGGCCACCACCACCACCGCCGCTGTTTGGAACGTCTTCCAGCCAGATCATCCCGGGTCGGATGGGCCGCTGAGGTCCCAGACCCTCTACGGATCCGGGGAAGCCCACTCCACCTGGCTGCCCTCTCTGGATCTGACCCAGGAACCGTGGGCCCCGAGGCCCCTCTGGATGCATTTCAAACACTTTGCCATTCCCATCGATTCCCCTTCGCATCAAATTCCCAGAATCCCACTGCTGGTCTCCAGGTTTATTGTGGTAGGGAGGAGGTGGCCCTCTAA